CATGCCCTCAAACCCCTCTCTGGACCTCGCAGGAACCCACTCCACCTCTGTTTGTGTATGTTGACCACTCGGCCTGTGGGGGACGTCTGAGCTGGTGGCAGCGTCACCCGGACCACCCGTTTCATCCGACGCGGCAATATTCATTTCGCATCCAACGACGATTGCTCATTTCCGCGGGTCGGAGCACGTTGTGTCGCGACCGTACAGAAGGATGACCTTGCTCTCGTCCACGTTGGACTTGCACACGGGGCGGGGAGGGGGGGTGGGGGTGGAGGGGGGGGGGGGGGGGGGGGGGGGGGGGGGGGGGGGTGGGGGCGCGAAAGTGATCCACTGTGTACAGGCACGGCCATTAGAAGAGATGGCCGCACAGCGTCACGACATACTCGCTCGCCGTGTCGAGGCAAATATTGCAATCGATGTCGCAATCGCCCGCTGACGGATTTCCAACCGGTTTTCGAAACGTCCTCGAATCGCGTGTAGTCGCCGAAGATTCACGAGCTGTCGCCGCCCATATGGCCGTGGTTTTGGAAGCAGCTGGTGATTCCTTGCCTAAAATTCGCTCGTCGGCCTGGTTCGTCGAAGGTGCAGTTAGACGGGGCGATTCGACAGGGAACTGAGAGGCAACAGCAGAACGCGCGTCAAGCGCACTCTGCATGTCGCCCGTGTTGCTCATCAAGGTCACCGTTGCATCGGTCACGTTAGTCGCATGGATAAAGAGAGGCGCGGCAAGCGGGGATATGCGCGAGTCTCAAAGAGGAGGGGTAGCATGAGACACACCTGACGGGGCAGGACCTGGGTGGGGTGGGAGTACCGGAGGAGCAGGACCAAGAGGGATTGGGAACGAGGAAGAGGGGAGGGGGGCATCCGGGAGACCTCGATGGGGGTAGCGGACGTAGAAGGACACGGACTCGTCAAACGTGACGTCACGGGAGTTGACCAAGCGGTGGAGGGATCGGTGGTAAAACTGAAAGTCAGGGGCGTCAACCAAGAAACCAAGAAAGACATGGAGGGTGAGAGCCGAGAGCTTGTCCGCACGAGGATCGCGGACATGTGCAAGGCAGCCCTATACACGAAACGCAGACGCGACACCAGGTGACCCATTCCAAAGACCTCTGGGCGCGAGACACGCGGCCAGAGGTTCAGCTGGTGTGCGGCGTAGCGAACCGCGAAGGGCCACAGAAAATGGGGTGCATAGGCATGGACGATGGAGGTGTGGGCGATCTCCACGACCTAGCATATGCGGTGCTCAGAAACCCCATTTTGTTGATGCCCTGCTCGCGACAGAACTCGGCAAGAACACGAGAGCGAAACTCATCCCTACGGTCGGAGTGGAGACAAAGTACAGGGAGGGCGTGATGGGCAGTAGTGGCCAGCAACCATAGGATCAGAGCATCAGGCACGTAGGCCTTCCGCTGCAGGGGAAACACCGTGATGTAGCGAGAGTTATCATCCATAATAACAAGGAAGAACCTCTCGTTGCACTGCCCAGCGTCCAGGGAAGGGCCCTAGACGTCCATGTGCAAAGACTGAAGAGGTGCGGTGGCATGCACAAGGGAGGAGGAGAGAGGGGTGGCGCGCTGCCGACCCTCGACGCAGGGAGTGCACGCTGGAGCAGGCAAAGCAGGGAGGGAAGGAGGCAAGAACGGGAGACCTGGCACAAGACCGTGCCTAAATATATGACAGAGACGCATGAGTGCAGGGTGACCAAGATGGTGATTCCACAGGAGCGACGGGTGGGTAAGCAACCGACACAAGCGCGACGCAGCAACCTAACTAGATGCCACAGGAGCGACGGGTGGGTGAGCAACCGACACGAGCACGACACAACAAACTAACTAGACGCAGCTACCTGGGGGGATGCACTGTGCAGTGTGAAGTGCTTGACGAAGGCTCCCGGAAGAACGTCGCAAGACGTGCCCCAGGAGAAGCGCCCGTACAGGTCGCAAACCTCTCGTGTGCAGGAAAAGTGATTGTGATCTCACATTCCTGAAGGTGTCCAACACCCACCAAGTTCCCAGAGAATGAGGGGATGTGGAGGGCTATGAGAGAATCAGAGGGGACAGCCGGACACAGTAGAGTGGTATTATTGCGTGCTACGGCTTGTCCCGAAGTGGGATCAGCCAAAGCAACTGAGATTGGTGTCAGAAGTCGTGTGCCACTAGTGTGGTCGCGCAAGAAGCACTGGGACGTGCCAGAGTCAAACGTGAAGGAAAGAGACGCGTCAGCAGTAGTCACGCCTGGGCTAGCAACTACGCAAGCACCTACACTAGAAACACAAGCACCTTCAGTAGCAACAGACAAAGATCCTAGTCTAGGTACAAGGGAGCAGAAAGATTCGTCAGCATTATAATCAAGAACAACATACATGGCAGAATAAGCATGATCGATAGACATCTCAAACACCAGATATTGACTGGCCCCAGGTACTCCCATTACATAATCCTGACTAGCCCCTGGTACTGACAGTCAGGATCCGGTAATGACAGGGGCCAACTGCTGAGGCTGACACTCCCGTGTCCACTAGGACCCCACGACTGTTGAGGTTTCCACTGCTGGATGTGCTGCTGCTGCAGCTGATGTCCCTGCTGCTACGGCTATGGCAGCTGCTGCTTCTGCTGTGTCCCCGACATACCCCCACAGCCAACATCCCTAGGCGTCGCACCTGTAGTGCCTGCCCCGCCTCCAGAGCCACCCTTTTGACGTTCCAGTACCTCCTCCACCCCCACCACCTTCACCTCCACCACCCTTCCCTCCCTTCTTACCTCCCTTGCCCTGTTTCTGCCAACCAGTGGCGAAAACAGCTGCGGTCTCCTCAGGAGAAGACGACTCAGCAACAGTAACAGAAGCAGTGAAGGTGGAAAGCTAGGACAGAACATACCCCTTAAAGAGACAGGAAACTACTGCGGCAGTAGCAGAAGCAACAGAGTGGAGGTTACTCAAGGAGCTCGATAGTAAGCTCATCGTGGTTCTTCTGAAGAAGCGCGTCGCGTGCAGATGAGAGGCGGTTAGGGAGACGAGTGACGATGGAATATAGGCGGGGGGCCGAGAGCAAGCTGGGCAATGGAACTGGCAGCACAGTTGCTAGCGTCAAGGGAGCGCAGGTGAGTGACCAAGTCAGCAGTAGTGTCAAACACACCAAGGTCAGGGAATAAGAACGGCATGAGGAGGCGGCTGAGGGAGGCAAAGGAAGGAGTGGAATAGCAGGAAACGATAGCCTCAAAACACTCCTTCAGAGACTCGACCTGGGTGAAGTGGGCGTCCTCAGTCGGTGGGAGGAGGTCGGTGAGAGCGAGACGAGCAAAAGCGACGTGGGACTCCTAGATGGAGTACTCTGAGCGCCCCTTGGCAAACGTCTACCGCTCCGCTTCAGTGGGTGTGGTAGAAAGCTGGGTGGGACGCAAAAGGGCGGGCAGGTCACCAGACGTGTGGGCGAACAGAGTGTCGCCGTCCTGGCGCTGGCTCCTAAGGTGCAACTTGGCATTCGGGAGTCAGGTACTAAACTCTATCGCTCGGCCCTCTGCATCGCGCAGAGCTCTAGCGGACGCCATAACGTAGGAAACAGGCTATGAACAAATAGAACGGCGAGGAAAGGCCAGGAACTGCTAGGAACTGCTAGGAACGACTAGCTAGGAATGCCAAGCTAGGAACGACAGGCTAGGAGCCGCTGGTTAGGAACAGTGGCTAGGAACGGCCGGTTATGAGCACTGAACTAGGAACGACAGGCTAGTGTCGACGGGCTAAGAACAACGAAGTAGGAACAAACTAGAAACCCTAATCGGTGCAAGAGGAACGGTGATGCGGCTTTCAACCGCTGCTGGGAGGGCTGCCAACGAAGGTAATGATGCATGGTGGCAGGCATTAACGGGGACGTAAGCGGGGCACGCAGCAAAAGCGAGGGGCGCGCGCTGGCCAGTGGGGCGCTGGTAGCGAGGCGGGGTGCGCACTAGCGGCTCGCCCTGCTGACGGTGCGGGCTGCAAGCGGGGAGGGCGCGTTCTGGCAGCAATGCGGGCGTGCGCAGGGCGCTGGCGCTGGCGTGCGCTGACGTGCGTACGCTGGCTGGCAACGCGCTCGAGTATACGCGATGGCGTGCGTACGCTGGCATGCGCTGGTGTGCGCTGGCGGGGCGCGCGCCAACAGTGCGTGCTGCAGGCACGCGCGGCTTGCGGGCTGGCGGCTGGCTGAATACGGCTTGCTGGATGGCACTGGGAACGAGGCTTGCTGGCCGGTGGAGGTGCTAGGAGCTAAGACGGTCTAGGAAGGAGTAGGCGGAACTAACTGATGATACCATGTAAAAGTTGTGCAAGCGGAATAGTCTGAACTAGGAAGGATGGGGATACATATGGCAACCCTAAAAGGGTTGTGCTATCTAAAGAGTACCTCACCGTAGCCTAACATGCATATGTATATATATATATATAATATTCTATAGCCCCACCTGACCTTATACCTGGGGAATGACGGTAATGAAGGCCATAACGATCGATAAATGTTTTTGTGATAATTAGTATATGTATGGTGTATAAGGGTGAGATGCGAAACAACCATTAATTAATTTTGTCGCTTTAAAACACAACAATGGTGGATGCTTTGTGTAATGGGGTATACAGAAGTATAACAGTTGTGAATGTAGAGGATTGACGAAACTCTAGTGCTGGAACTCCCTGTGATAGATGCAATCTTCCTTTTTCCACCCTGGGAACTTGATGGTGCGTGCTCCAGGTGATTGAAATAGCTCATCCCCACGAACATTGCGAAAGCTAAACAGATTCTGCTCTGCTGCCATGGATGCTGAAGACTACAACGTGCTTCCGAACCAGCCACTTGAGGTTGGCTGTCAAATAGATTCCTTCTTAGAGACAGACGCGGATGTTTCATGCATCGACGCTGAGTCTTCAGTCTTTTCGGCAAAAATCCCTATATCAGGTTTGTTTTACGTAGCATGGCTCACGGAGTTTAAGCTCGACAGCTGTGATAAAACAGTCGTTATTCCGTATTGCAGTTGAAGTTTGCCTCAAGGCAGATTCCGAAGCCTCTTTCAACGACGTTCGTGCATCAATCTACAGGTCAATTGCACCTTATCATTATCTTGCATTCTCTGTTGGCTTTTGATGTGACTGATAGAGCCTTTTCCAAAGCGCAGGTTGCTCGCAAATAGGCATCAAGTCTTCGCTAATGGACCTCTTGTTCTCAATCTGGGCGAAGATCCATTCATTGATGACAACGTAGCTTCAATCAACTTTGTCGACATTGGTAAGTAAGGATTGTCATAAATTGCCTCAGTTAGTAGCTACTGCTATCCTTACGAGCATGTTCATTGCAGATGAGCAAACTATTGCGAATCAGGTTATTCTCTTCTGGCAAGTTGATCTTCAAATCAGCATCTTCAAGGTCTGATTTCCCAAGGAATTATATCATTTTTGGCGTGACATACGTTATGAAATACAATCTGAAATGTGAGCAGCTGTGCCGAGGAGGCGCTGTTGAAGACACCGAACAAGAGCAAGAGGTCGCCTCGTTTGAATCATGGAACCTTCCGTCAGAGGATTTCCATGGTCTTTGGGAAAGGTACAGTCGAAGCAATTTATTTGCTCGTACAAGAGGTTTTGCAGGTCAGATTTATCGTTCTGAATGCTTTCTCGTTTCCAGTCTGGTCTATGATTCAGGAATCAAGCACCGACTTCTTCGATATGCTGCAAGTGCCCTTCTGTTTTCAGAGAAAGGCGTAAACTGTCAGCTTGTTTCTTGGAACAGGTAAATGAATGCTACCAGACTGTTTGTGATACGTCGATACGCTTACTGACCCATTTCAAATTTCAGGGTGGTTTTGTTGTTCGGACCACCTGGTACAGGAAAAACATCTCTGTGGTAAGCATTTGTTTTTATGTACCGCTCTCTGCATTTTGGTATTTGGAGGTCTTGAATTGCTACAGATCCTTCTTCGTCCAAACACTCTCAACCACTTCCCTTTCTGTTATCGTGTTGCTTTTGCATTCAGTAAGGCACTGGCCCAGAAGCTATCTATACGTTTCAAAGAAAGGTGACTTCATTGCTTCCTGTCAATGCTTGATCAATTGCAAGCTTAGAATGTCTTCATGACACCATTCTACAGGTATCAGACAGCTCATCTTATTGAAGTGAATGCGCACTCTCTCTTCAGCAAGTGGTTCTCCGAAAGTGCAAAGCTTGTAAGTTCTAGGTTGACGATAGTAATGCCAGCCGAGAACAAGGTCTCATATGTCCATTCTGTGTTGCAGGTGAGCAAGCTGTTCAGTCACATCCAGTCTTTCGTGGAGGATAGAAGTTCGTTGGTGTTTGTACTTATTGGTACGTGAGAGAAACCAAATTTCATTCCACTTTCCCCGTGCACCATGAGGTGTTTACTAAAGTGTTGCCTTGGTCAGACGAAGTTGAGAGCCTAGCTGCGGCACGTCAAGCTGCTCTAAATGGCTCAGATCCCTCGGATGCTATAAGGGTAAGTCGACCTGTGACGTGGCAGTGCCTTGATATGAGTGCGTGCTAATTTCCGCGTGTGCATGTGTGCAGGTCGTGAATGCATTATTGACTCAGCTTGATAAACTGAAGCAGCACCCTAACGTCATGGTCCTGACGACTTCAAATTTGACCCATGCCATTGGTCTGTCCTGGCGCATTTGTGTAATATTCATTGTCTGTTCTTCAAGGTCTATAAAATGACGCCCTTTCTCTGTTTTCAGATCTGGCGTTCATTGACCGAGCTGACATCAAGGCCTTTATTGGTCCACCGTCACTGCAAGGACGTTATAATATGCTGCATTCGAGCTTCTGCGAGCTTCAACGAGTTGGGATTGTTGAAGAGGTGGAGGTACGAGTTGCCTTCGTGTTGTTTTCGTGTTTCTGCAATCTCAATGCCCTCTGAAATTCCCTGTGAGCTGGTTCTCGTTATGACTGACAGGGCAACACTGTCTATCCGTGCACTTACAACGAACTGATGCTGAGCGATTGTGATAGTGAGGACATGGGGAGTAGTAAGGGTTTCCACTTAGGGAAGAAGCTTCTCGAGGTCGCCAAGGCGTGTGAGGTACGCTTTCAAAATCGCCAAGAGTGGCTGTTTCGAGTAGTGTTTGTGTGGTGTTAAAATCAATCACCCTGGCAGGGACTTAGCGGGCGAATTTTAAGGAAATTTCCTTTCCTGGCCCATGCTACAAGCAACATACCTGGTGCTTGCTCAGCTGACAGCTTTTTTGACAAGCTGCGGTCAGCTGTGCAGAAGGAGCTGGAAGACAGGAACAACATGGCCGCGAGGTAGCAAAGACCATACTAATTGTCATGCATCACCTTTCCAAGTTGGTAGTTTCATATTTTATTAAGATACCGTATCAGTAGTTTTGAAGATGTGGGGGTCCGAGAGTCAACTATCAGAACTCCTCTGTTGGAAGAACCAGAGACTTGAATTATGCTCGTTTGGGGGGCAAAGGGCAAAAAAGGAATAGAAGATTTGCATTCACACAGCCAGAACGATGGCTGTTAAACACCTTCGGACGCAAAAATCAGTGAGAGCAGCATAAGAATGCTGGAATTGACATGCGCCTTTTGTCCTCAAGTACCGTAAGTTATTGTCCATTCCACCATCTCTGCTCCTCATTCCCTCCATCCCACCATCTCTACTCCTCAGTCGTACCTTTCCACGAAGTCTGTTGCTCATCCCATCCCACCATCTCTTTCATGATCCCCTCCCATCATCTCTGCTCCTCGTCCCACCCCACCATCTCTGCTCCTCATCCCATCCCATCCCACCATCTCCTTTCATCATCCCATCACACCATTTCTGCTGCTCATCCCATCTCATCATATCTGCTCTTCATCCCATCCCACCATCTCTGCTCCTCAACCCATTCCACTGTCTTTGCTCCTCATCTTATCCACCATCTCTGCTCCTCATACCATCGCACCATCTCTGCTCCTCATCCCATCCCACAACAACCTCAGCCCATCTCATTTGTCCCATCTCTTTTTGTTATCCCACCCCAGTATCTCTGCTGCTCATCCCATCCCATCATATCTGCTCCTCCTCATCCCATCCTCCCATATCTCTCATCGTCGCATCCCACAATCTCTGCTCCTCATCTCATCCCACCATCTATTCTCCTCATCCCATCCTACCATCTCTGCTCCTCTGCCACTCATTTTATCCCACCATCTCTGCTCCTCATTCCATCCCACCATCTCTGCTCACCATCCCATCACACCATCTCTGCTCCTCATCCCATCCCACCATCTCTACTCATCATCCCATATCGTCATCTCTGTTCCCCATCCCATCCCACCATCTCTGCTCCTCATCCCACCCACCCCACTATCTCTGCTCCTCATCCCATCCCACCATTTCTGCTCATCATACCATCCCACCATACCATCTCTTCTCATCATCCCGTATCGTCATCTCAGTTCCCCATCCCATCCCACCATTTCTGCTCATCATCCCATCCCACCATCTCTACTCATCATCCAGTATCGTCATCTCTGTTCACCATCCCACCCCACCATCTCAATTCATCATCCCATCCCACCATTTGTGCTCATCATCCCGTCCCACCATCTCTACTCCATCCTGTATCGTCATCGCTGTTCTCCACCCCATCCCACCACCATCCCTGATCTGCATTGCATCCCACCATTTCTGCTCCTCGTCTTATCCCACCATCTCTGTTCCTCGTCCCATCCCACCATTTCTTATCCTCTACTCCCATCCCACCATCTGTACTCATCATCCCATCTCACCATCTCTGTTCTTCATCCCATCCCACCATTTCTTCTCCTCATCCCATTTTTTCTCCTCATGCCATCCTACCTTTCTCTGCTCCTCATCCCATCCCACCTTCTCTGCTCCTCATCCCATCCAGTCTTCTCTGCTCCTCATGCCATCCCACCTTTCTCTGCCCCTCATCCCATCCCACCTTCTCTGCTTTTCATCCCATCCCAGCTTCTCTGCTCCTCGTCCCATCCCACCTTCTCTGCTCCTCATCCCATGCACACACGCTCCTGACGGCCATCAACAGCCCACAGGGTTTCAGGCTCATGTAGGGTGGTGGGAGACGCGACAGCAGCATCACTCTGTGCATCAGGCGCACACACCGTGATTTGTATGCCGCAGAAACATCAACCACATCAATCAGGCCTCTCTTTCCAGAACAGGCCATGTGTTGGAATTGCTTGCGGTTTAATCATCCAGATCTTCAATGAAGCTTTCTGCTGCGGCTGTGAATGCTGCTGTGAATGGCTATGGCTTTGGGTTTACCAGGTGTGTAGACCTTACGGTAGGTTGTCAGATTACCGTAGCAAGTATGCAATAACTCTTTGCCATGTATACATACTGCTACGAGCATCTATTGAGCAAGTGCAACCCTCACATGTGCAAGGACATTGCAAACATTCTGCAATCAATTACCAGTGGGTGGTACAACTTATGGACACATTTTGGCAACCAATGCATAATAATGTGTCAATCAATACCTTACACTTTACATATAACAGAAGGGAAAACGTAATAAAACAACTGTACATAGTCATCATTGAAGATTATGCAAAGCCAACTACCACAGTGAGGGTGAAAGTGTTCTGAAACGCCTAGGAAGTTGGCCATAAAGTTGAGATTGAAACCTGTCTGACACAGAAACATGGCCGTCTCTGCCCTGTGCAATGGTTGTTGCGATGGCACTGGCTGCAAAAGGTTAGTAAAATTACAATCCTCCAGCCGCAAAATGGCATACCTCGAAAATATTACTGACCTGAATACTGACCAGAACTCAACCTGAGCAGCTCTCAACCTGCATTACAGAAACTGGTTCGGCACTGTACAAAACAGATGCAACAGCGCATGACTGCGAAGTGATCTTTTTGTCAACTCAAAAGTCACCGATGCCAACCTGAATGCATGCGGGCAGTTTGATATAAGTGGAGAGCGGTAAAGGGTCAGAAGCCGTCAGAGAGTTCACTACAACTCGGGCCGTGTGATGGTTGTGATGGCACATCCTGCAAAAGGTTAGCAAAAAAATGACATCCTTCCAGCCGCAAAATGGCATCTAGTAGAATACTAACCTGCATACTGGCCAGAGTTGAGACCTGAGTAGTGACCTGAAGGCCAACCTGAATACCAACCTCCGTACCAACCAACCTATACCGACCTGCTGAACTACTCTCAACCCGCCTCACAAAAACTCGATTGACGCTGTACAAAACAGAAGTAGCGATGTGGCTCACCTGATTGCATGCGAGCAGTTCAATAAAAGTGGAAAGCGATCAAGTGTCAGAAGCAGTTAGAGAGTTCACTTCAAGTCGCAGTCAACGAAAGGTGGACCCCCACACCCTCCATTGCTTTGCCTCACTGCTGAGGGAGGGGAGCGGGCGGGAGAGGGTGATGGTCAGTGGGAGGGCGAGGGGCCTGGGAGGGGGAAGGGTGAGGGGGCACGGAGAGGGTGAGTGGTGATATATTGAGAAACGGGGAACGGAGTGATAGTTCTGACAACATTTCATGGCCTGAGCTGCAATGTCAGTCACAGTGCTTACTGCTGATGCTTGAAATCTCAAACAAACATGCGGGAGCATACAGAGTGGCAAGCATGCTTTCACAATGTGGCACATATAATTTACAGGAGAAGCTGACAAAAATGTCTGTTCAGCGAAAGAATCTGCGAAGGAGATGCATACAAGTAGCCAAGCAGCACATGGAAAACTAAGATCTTGGCGACTCTTCGTTCGGGCAGGGATTTTGACTTGGCATGGCATGGATTTGACTCGGCATGGCATGGATTTGACTAGCCATGGCACGGATTTGACTAGCCATGGCACGGATTGACTTGGCATGACACGGATTTGACTTGGCATAGCAGGTATTTGACTTGAAAGGCACGGATTTGACTTGCCATGGCACGGATTTGACTTGCCATGGCACGGATTTGACTTGGCATGGCACAAATTTGACTTGCCATGGCACTTATTATATGACCTGATACCTGAATGTTCACCTGATACCTGAATGTTGACCTGATACCTGAATGTTGACCTGATACCTAATGCTGACCTGATACCCGAATATTGACCTGATACCTGAATACTGACTTGATACCTGAATACTGACCTGATACCTGAACTGAATGCTGACCGGACCTGATACCGGAATGCTGACCCGATACCGGAATGCTGACCTGATACCGGAATGCTGACCTGATACCGGAATGCTGACCTGATACCGGAATGCTGACCCAATACCGGAATGCTGACCTGATACCGGAATGATGACCCGAAACCTACATACTGACCTAAACAGCTCCAGTTTTGACGTGCAGAAGCTGGTTCGGCGTGGTACAAAACAGAGCTGCGAATGATACAAGAATCAGTCAGAGCTAAAAACGCACCCACCTTTTCCCGATTCTGTTTCCATCGTCATGTTTCAACCTCACGTCAGAAGTAGCCACATGGCGCACATGATTGCAAGGCGATTTTTTCCAGTTTTCTCAAGACTCACCGAAGCTCACCTCTTAGAGGGCCAGCAGAAAGCACTGCAAGTGGCAAAAGTGTCAGAAGCAGTCCGAAGTCGCATCCAACGAAAGGTTCACCACCACACCCTCCAGTGCTTTGCCTCACTGAGGGAGGGGGAGTGGGAGGGGGAGCATGAGAGGGAGGAAGAGAGGCGTGGGAAGGGAGAGGGAAGGGGGAGGGGAAGGGGGGAGGGGCAGAGAGAGGGTGAGTGGTGAGGAAAGGATGGGCATGGAGAGATAACCAAGTCATGAGTTTGAAGCCTTGAGCTGCAATTACGGTAACAGTGCTTACTGGTGAACCTTGGATTGGAAGCCCACAGAAACACGCATAATGAAATAGAGTGACAAGCGTGCTTTCACAACGTGGCACGTGCATTTCACAGGGGATATAGGAACTGTTTTGTTGGCAAGTGAACATGGTGGTGTGAAGATCATGCGGAGCAGCACATTGATGCCAAGCAGCACATTAATGCCAAGCAGCACATAATCCCAAGCAGCACATTCATGCCAAGCAGCACATTCATGCCAAGCAGCACATTAATGCCAAGCAGCACATTAATGCCAAGCAGCACATTCATGCCAAGCAGCACATTCATGCCAAGCAGCACATAATCCCAAGCAGCACATTCATGCCAAGCAGCACATTCATGCCAAGCAGCACATTAATGCCAAGCAGCACATTCATGCCAAGCAGCACATTAATGCCAAGCAGACATTGATGCCAAGCAGCACATTAATGCCAAGCAGCACATTCATGCCAAGCAGCACATTCATGCCAAGCAGCACATTAATGCCAAGCAGCACATTAATGCCAAGCAGCACATTCATGCCAAGCAGCACATTCATGCCAAGCAGCACATTGATGCCAAGCAGCACATTAATGCCAAGCAGCACATTGATGCCAAGCAGCACATTGATGCCAAACAGCACATTAATGCCAAGCAGCACATTGATGCCAAGCAGCACATTCATGCCAAGCAGCACATTCATGCCAAGCAGCACATTGATGCCAAGCAGCACATTAATGCCAAGCAGCACATTCATGCCAAGCAGCACATTCATGCCAAGCAGCACATTCATGCCAAGCAGCACATTGATGCCAAGCAGCACATTAATGCCAAGCAGCACATTCATGCCAAGCAGCACATTAATGCCAAGCAGCACATTCATGCCAAGCAGCACATTCATGCCAAGCAGCACATTCATGCCAAGCAGCACATTCATGCCAAGCAGCACATTCATGCCAAGCAGCACATTCATGCCATGCAGCACATTCATGCCATGCAGCACACGCGTGCTTCCTGTAGCATGAACAACCATGCACAAACAATGTGACCCGCCCGAACATGTGCTTCCTCAACTGCCCCAGACAACGAGATCAACAGCCCATACAACAAGTCAAGCTCCTTGGTTCTTGCAATTTGTGTCTTGATTTTGTTATATATACACATTAATGATCATAATAGCATCATCTAATCTACATGGGCCTACAAGTAACAAACTTAACCCTATCAGTGAACTATATCTTACAAGGTACAAGTTTTCCTATACTGGCAAGTCATATTTCTCACTTCCACCTGGGTTGCTGGCCCTGCTGTTTCTGCGAGGCTGCTGTTGCAGTCTGGCCTCGCAGCTCACTGTTGCTCCCTGCTGCTGCCTTCACTCCATTCTTCCCTCCAGTCTTTACAGCTGAAACTGAACCTTTTCTCAATCTGCTCGTGGCAGCAGCACCCCCACCAGGGGCAGCCGGAGCAGCGTCTCTCGCCTTCGATCCTGATGTCTTGTTTGCTGACTTTATTACTGTCACTTCAGAAACCTTACCCTTGCATCCAACACTTTTCTCTGCAGCACCAACCTTGCTTGCCTCTCCCTTTCCAGTCCCCCTCACTGCTGCACCAAAGGTTGCTGCCTTCACAGGTGGCTTCACTGCCGGTTGTGTGGCTGATTTCGCTGCTGCTTTCACCGCTGGTCGACCTGCTGGCGAAGCTGCTGCGCGTGCTGATGGCTTGCTCGCAGCAGGCTTTACCACATCCTTTACTTTAGCTGCTGAAGGGGCTGCTGCCTTCGCCACAGACCGTTCTGCTGCCTTCGCCACAGACCGTTCTGCTGCCTTCGCCAGTGACCTCGATGGCTTCACTGTTGATCGTGCTGATGGCTTGCAAGCCTTTTTTAGAGGCGAAGCAACAGCAGGCGCAGAAGCAGAAGCAGCAGCAATGACGCCAATGGCGTCAGCAACAGCATCCGCAGCAGCAGCGGTCGCAGCAGGCACAGCAGCGGCAACAGCAGCACCAAGAGCGTAAGCAGCAGCACTGGCGGCAGCAGCCACCACACCCACAGCAGAGGCAACAGCCGTGACGAAAGCAGGCCTCAGCGGCGAGAAGCCCAGCCGAGCTCCAAACCGATGCTCCCGGCGGTTCTTGCTCGCCTTAGCAAAGCGGCCCAGCTTGAAGGCCACATCCGCAGCGCTCATGGGCTTGCATGACGCCAACGACAGCATCGTTTCGCCTGCACTCCGAGCTGCGGGATTCCTGATCGTGTGATCATTCAAATATGCTTCGTCCTCCTCTGTCCATTCCGTGATGAACTCGGCAGGGTTCACTGAACCGTGCTGAGCCACCCATTCACCAATACTCCAGCCAACGTATGATTTCACTAAGGCGCTTCTCAGGTATTGCTCATCCTCTGCTGTCCACTCTGTGATAAAATCAGCAGGGTTCACTGCCTTTCCCGCCAGGAGAATCAGCTCGTCGCTCACACTTAGAGTGGTACGACGATTTGCGACAGGGGCTCTTAAATCAGCCTCGTCCTGAGCAGTCCACTCCGTAATAAACTCGGCGGAGCTTACTGTGAGTTTAGACAGGAGCAGCAGCTCATCGCTCACACTGAGTTCAGCCGGTGCTGCTCTCAGCTGAGCTTCATCAGCCGCCGTCCATTCGTAGAGGCAATCGAAGGGAAGAGAGTTCAGTGCAGGGCAGTCCAACCAGCTCGGTACCTCCCACAGGTACCTCGCTGCGTTTCCGAATGCCGTGGCAGCAGCAAGAGCAACGGCAACAACCGTTTCCGGGTACACTGACTCCATCCGAGCACGGGAGCACGAGGCGAAGTCTGTGCGAGTGACTGAAAGAGCGTGTGAAGCAAACAAGTTGTGATCGAATAGAAATGGTTGTCAAGTGTACCATTTCTACTGACACCAAGCCGTGGGTTCCCCCGTTAACGAAGGACGCTTCGTTCGAGCGTTGGTTCGGCACTTTGGGGTGCAGCTTCGGCACCACACCCGATTACTGCGCTCTGAGGCAAACGCGAGGGGGCCAGTGGGTTGTCCACATTGTTGCTCGCCTGACAGTACCGCCAGCTAATACGAAAATCGGACGGTTGGAGTGTTTCCGGTGCTTCCGAAAACGAATCTGCGGAAGCTTTGCCCTCGGTTTGATCATTTTGCAGCACGCTCACAAACTCAAATCGGACGGTTTAAAAGAGGTCGTGATTCTCGGAGTCCTACCTACGGTTTAGGTTTGGCACCGACATCCGCAGCGCGTGGACGTGAATGGAAGCTGGTGACACCATTCTTGCTGGACCTAGCCCAGCATGACGTGTTTCGTTCGTGGATCTATGCGTGGCGTGGCGGAGTGGGGTCGTACCTGGTGGTGGGATCATAAGTGAACAAGCGCATTGCCCCACGTGACAAAGCTCGCTCTAAGCTGCTGCGCGGCTGCTGTAAACTCGTAAACCGGAACGAAACGGGCGGCTGGAAAAAGGAACCACATCTAATCTGGCGCCACATCCGGCTGGATGTCTGCTAGATCTAGCGCGGTAAGTCAGAATGGGCGGGTGTCTGAAATAGGCAGCAGCAGCTCATAGCGAGAGGAAGCATAACCAGGGTGCTCGGTTGAAGGGGGGGGAACAAGTGGCGAGGTGGATGGCTTGGTGGAGCACCAAACCCTAGGTCGCAAGCTCAGTCAGTAACTACTGCCAGCGTACCCTTGACGAACTGCTGCAATTTTGAAATTTTCGCTAATCACGAATAGGCGCGAACAGAATTGTTCGCCAATACCACGAACAAAACTGAGTGCGTGAAGTTACACGACCTAATACTCAATAGTAGCAGCCATATTTGGTAGAGAACTGATGTTCATGAATTTATTCAAATCTAGTGCAAAGCTGCCACATTATATCTAATGATGAGCCAGTAATATGCAGGTGCAATTCCCCATATGTTGTGTAATTATAGTGTGATATATGTTGGGCCACAAGGAGGTACTTGAAATACCAAAGCCAAGCCACGCATGGAGGCCGAGGCAAAACATACAAACCAGAGAAAAACGTATTCACAAGGCCTACGAATGGTGCACACAGGGCACACGCGCACCATAAAAAGGGAAAACAAATTTACAATGAAATAAATAACACCAGTCCACCTTTCAACGGGTGCAAGAGGTGTGGGTGGGGTGAAGGTCACTTCACGTCCGTGCTGACTCATGTCAGCATTTCACTGTCTGTGTCGCTGAGCCCTCCGCAAGAGCCTCACTATCAGCAATCACCAACGATGCGTCTTCTATCCGAACAGGCACCGGCACCATTGCACTTGCATGCTCTGCCGCCTCCTGCCCGCCCTCCATGCTTGGTGACGCTATGTCGGTCGGCACGACTCGGCAGTATATGGGGATGATGTGCAGAGGTGCTTCCACATCCTCCAGCCAGGTGGGGCCTTCAAACGTGTTGGACGGGTTCAGCAGCTCGCACCATGTGCCTCTGGTGAAAGGGTGACAGGGGGAGAGGACAGAAGAAAGATTGAGCAAATTGGGGTAGTGGTGAGTTGTTCACCTATCAATGAGAGTGCTAGGGAAGGGGAGCGGGGGGGAGAAGTCTAGAGGGGTTAGCATAGCAGGGAGGATGGAGAAGAGAAGATGCGCTTTCAATCAACTCACTTGGGGAGGTAGACGTCGCGCTTCTTCTGCCCCTTGACCACCACGGGGGCCACTATGATGTCATCGCCTATCGCAAACTGATCGTCTATGGGGAAGGTCTGGGGGTGAGAGGGGATGAGATGAGAGGGAAGCAGATGGAAGCGAGGGTTAGAACCCGGAAATGAAGACAAGCAGGGGCTCATGCATAGCTGCCCCAGATTCATAAGACACCCTAATGCAAAATACGTTCAGAAACTTCTCTGGAAGAATGCAGGTGTGCTGTGCAGATGAGCCCAGCACGTGAGGTGAGGTGAGGTGAGGTGAGGTGTGGTGCGGTGCAGGGAGGCGAGGAGGCGGAGCGCACCTCGGCATCGTCGGGGTCGAGCCACCACATGGGGCGGCACACGGGGGCGAGGGCCTTGGAGCATGCATCCTCCATGAGGCTGAAAATGGTGCCCGCTAGCTTCTCCCTTAGCTGCGAGGAATGCATGGCAGCGAAGGGAGGAGGGGAGAGAGTTAGACTAACTCTCAAACCAATGGATATATCTATAAATGAGAAGATGAAGCGAAAATAATTCTTCTCTCCCCAATTCCCACCACCACCCTCACCTCGAGCACGGCCTTGCAGAGGCGGTCAGCCTCCTTGCTGAGGTCCCAGGGGGCGATGGAGAACTGCATGGCCGGCATGAGCGCGTTGGCCTGCGCCCACCGCACCAGCAGCTCCACGTCCGGCTTGTTGCCAAAGTACGCATTGCCCCCCACCATGTCGGGTAAACAGAACGGGTACCCCAGTATCCCCGACGTCAGCAGCGTGGGAATCACGCTCCTTAGCCCGTTCCCCGAGCTCCACGTGGAGAATCTATCCCCCATCCTGGTTAACAGCGGCACACTGCTGGTCTTATGCCCGGTGCGAACCTCCGCGTAACTAAATTGAGATGCCACCTCTTGCACATACAGCCGCGTGTATTCCACCGGGGTCACGATCGGCTTGTGCGTGACGAAGTGCGCGGGGAGGAAGCACGGCTCGCCCGCGTCAAACTTAAAGCCGTCGATGAGATAATCTGCCTGGAGGCGCTTGAGGCGGCCCACGAACCAGGCCACCGCCTCGGGGTTGGTCACGTCGAGTGCTGCTGCTGGCACGGGCTGCCACCACTTGAAGAAGCCCGGCTTGAGACCCTTGGTGGCCGGCGCGCTGGATGATATGAAGTAGCCTCTGGATGGGGAGGACGGGGGGGTGGAGGGGAGTAAGAGATGAAAAGGTGACAACAGAGGTGGATGGTGGCGGAGAGAGGTGTGTTTGAGAAGGCAATTCAGGACGGCAGCAGTGATCTCCATGCGCTGAAAGAGTATTGAGTGAAGTTTGAACTGGAATTGAGGGCCTGCAAGGTGTGAAATGAAATGCTCAGGAGCTCGGGTGCTGGCACTCACTTGGGCGCGCCTTCCTGGTAAGCAGCGGAAGCTTCCTCCACAAAGGGCATGATCCAGAGGGTCACCTTAAAGCCCAACGCGTGCAGCATCTCCACCATGGCCTGTGGGGGAGCGAGATGGCAGCAGAGAGAGCATCGGAGGGAGGTGAGGAGGAGGTGATGAGAAGGACAGGGGAGCCGCACAGGCATGATCAGATCCGATGAGAAGCTGGCGAACGTGAAATGAACAAGCAGCACACGCGGTCCTCACCTTGGGGTTGGGGAACTTGACGGGGTCGAAGTCAAAGTCGCCGTACTTGGTCTGCCACTTGTCGTCGATCTCCATGACGGACCGGGACAGCCCGCGCCCCACGATCTCATGCGCGAATTGCTCCACCTTGGCCTGCGTCACGTTTGCGTGGTACCGCGCCCACGTCGTCCAGATCGGCGCATCCACCATCTCCCGCGGCGGGGGGTTGGTCGGGCGAGGAAGGGTTTCCAGAGCCGCTTCGGCAGCTTGCTTCACGTTGGCAGTGGCGCAGAGCGCGAACTGGAGACTCAGGCGCTGGTCTGAAAGGGTGACGGGGGGGTTGTGAGGGATGAGGGGTTGAAGGGTGAGGGGATGAGAGGGCGAAGGACCTAATCCACATCTGCCCAGATCTACCAGATTCGCCCAGATCTGCCCAGATTCGCCCAGATCTGCCCAGATCTGCCCAAACCCGCCCAAATCTGCCCAGATCTGCCTGGAGGCACCCAGGGAAGGTCAATCTACAAGCCACGTTACGCGGCTCACCTTTGTCCTGCTCCTCCTTCCAGAGCGCGGGCATCCAGTCCCTCAGCGGGTGCAGCATCTCCACCGTGCGGTAGCTCGCCCGCGCCTGCAGGCGCAGCATGCCGTCCCCCGTACCGTTCTCCACCGCTGGCAGCGACTCCCGCGCCAGGTTCTGCACGCCCGTGCCCCAGGAGCGCTGGATCCAGCCGTCATGTGGGCCCACTTGGGGCGCGTTCAGCCCCACGTGCAGGAAGGGCGTGTCCGGATTGGCCAGCACGAGCAGCCCGCGGGAGGTCATCCATTGCGCGGCGAGCAACGTGTTGTTGCCGTTTGGCCCGTTGTCAAAGGGGAAGAATGGACCCATCTGGGAAGGGGAGAAGGCGGAGGGGGAAGGGAGACGGGGATGGGTAGAGAGCACAAAGGTGAAGATGAGGTTGGTTAAGAGTGTCAATGTGTCTGGGTTTTCAAGGAGTGAGTTGCAACTGCGTGCACACAGCAATCTGCACGAGTCCTAGTGCCCCTGCACCACCGCTGTATCCTAACCTCTCCCCTCCCCGCCGTACCTCGAACTGCCCGCGGTTGAGCGGCCAGTGCTGGCGCATGTAGTGCCCCCCGCCGAACCAGTACCCGGCGGTGCGCATGTCCAGCTCCACCTCCGCCATTCCGCGCGCCTCCTGCTCCGCGTGCTGCGCCACGCTGAACTCGCACACGAACCCGCACGCCAGCCTCTGTTGGTGGGGGTGGGCACGCATGGGGGAGTGCACAGGGAGGGAGAGTTAGTACAGGGACGGACACGCTGAACTCCAGCACGAATCCGCAAGCCAGGAGGCTCAATATGACTCCGAAGGTAAGATTTTTACGATAGCCCACCAGGGAGGTAAGATGCTCACTTTGGCCCAGGAGGGGTCGGAGGCGGGGTTGCCGTGGTCGCGGTCGAACGGCAGCGCCGACAGATCGCCCTTCTCCACGCCTGCGGGGTTCGCCGCCACCACGCGCAGCGCAGAGCCGTTGATCCACTTCAGCTGGACGGCCCCGATCGACTCGTCCAGCACGGTGATCTCGCACGACTCGATGTAGTCACGGCAGGTGTCAGGGAGTGAAACTCTCCCCGCGGTGATGAGTATAGGCACGCCGTCCTTCACGCGCCGCAGCTCCATCATCCCGTCCGCGCGCAGCCGCAGATGCTCCGCTCCGTTAAATATGTCCACTCGGCCCGGATGCACTTTAACGCGTACACGGTCGTCCAGGCCGGACAGGCTGCCGGTGCTGCTCACGCGGCTGAACCCTCCGTCGCTGCTGACATCGTCGCCGCTGCTGCTGATGTTGCTGCTGAGACTCACTGCGTCGTACAGCCGCTCCTCTTCCTCATCATCGTCGTCTTCTGTAAAGTACAGCGCGTTGTCAGCACCGCCAACAACGCCGCCAGGAGCGGGAAAAAGCAGGGAGGGGGAGGAGAGCACGTTGATATCAGCGTCGGGAGTCAGCGGACCACCTAGTGAATTAGCTAGGCCCCAAAGCCCGCCGTTGGTGTTGCTGCTGCTGCCTTGGGGCTTATCGGTCGGTACTGCTACGGCTTTCAAGGGCTTACCGGTTCCGCACACGTTGCACGGTCCGCGCTTGGCTGACCGCCGTCTGGCCGATCCGTTGGGACCGTTTGAACCTTCATGATGACGTCGTCCAGCTGGCAGCAGGCCCGCCACGTGGCAGTCGCATTCGAGGACGGCGACGGATTGCTTGCTGGTAACGGGTTTGTCTTCTAGCGAGGTAGAAGCTGTAGCGTCGGCGAGTATAGTGTATATCGGGTACGGAGGCGGCTTTCGTTGCGTCCTGCCGCCGTAGTATTGCTTCAGGGCCGGTCCGAAGATTAGTCTCTTGGACGGCCGGCAAGTGAGCGAGCCGCGTGATGCGAGAGTCGACGGCTGATTGGAGGCGAGCCGAAGCGTGCAGCTCGGACGGCAAGTCACGGACGCGCACGCTGACGTCATCCGTCCCGGCCCGCGTTTGCTTGCGCAGTTGACGCAGGCCCGTGTGAGGTTGGTAACACCGGGAGCGCGAATGGCGGCCGATATCGCCATGGCGGATTCGAGGGATGGAGATGAACAGGAGATCTGCGAAGAAATGGCGGAGAGAATAGGTGCTGCTAAGAAATCTAACGATAATAAAGTGCTAGCGATATTAGTGAACTCCGTGTCCTCTTGAGTAGGACGACGGTCTGAAGCTGATTCTCGACTAGGCGCCAGATTGGAACACGGAATGATACTATCGCTGAATGCTTGGAGAGAACTTGATCATTGGTTAACGCAGATAGAACGGGAAACACGGGAACAGAAGCCATGATCATACGAATTTATGAGCCAAACTGATCGATCACAATGGTTGTTGAATGCCGTGCAAGTGCAAGTGCAAGTGCCGAATCGAGAAGTATCAGTGAGTTAGTGGTGGTCGTGGAGCTGTTTCTTACGAACTCTGATCTGAGGCCGAGAATCAACGGAGGAGCGGTCCGTGGCGGCTCGCCAGCGCGTCAGTGGAAGCTGCGAATGGTGGGAGAACCATTCAAGCCGCCATAGGCACACGCCGAGTCCATCAGAACCACTCCTGGAGAAAAAATGTTCATCAGCTGTTGGCCATTTGACATCAGCTAGACCTCTTATGGCATCAGCTGACTCAAGGTTTGAGTCACGGCGAGCGAGAGAGGAAGGGGAGTAGAGGGAGGAAACGGTGGGGTCGAGTGAGACTAGTGACAATGACAAGTCCAGTGGAGTCCCCGAAGGCGTGGAGGGATGCGAGGGAGTCGGATGGAATGGAAGGAAATCCCCAAAGGTTATCTGTCCGACAGCCCATGACATCGATGCTGACGTAAAGCCGCGTCATGCCTCGATATCGCCACCTCGATTGTTCCGGCACCTCGAGAGTTCCAGCGTGCCTGCAACGGTGGACGTGGCGTAAAGCGTTGTGAGGATGAGGGTGAGCTGGCCAGCTGGCGCGGTTTGGTTTGTTCAGTTCCGTTTTCCTCGGTCGCGTTTGGTCGAGTCGAGAGACTCGAGTTGTTGCGGATAGGGGCACATGATCTCGAAAGCATGCCAGGAGTGGTTCTCCCGAATGTGTGTGGTGGTGGTGGACTGATCATTTTGCGGTCGGCCAATCAAGATCTCCGAGTGGACCGCACTGAAATTCGCTTGCTCGAAACAAAACGTCGGAAATCGAGGGGGTGATCGCACCGCGTTTTCAGATACCAGTACTGTACCGAAAAGGTCATCCACATGTCCATTCCCGATACGCGCGCAGCTCGATATTTGCTAACTGAAGCCGCTGTGAACGACGCAACTCAGAGTCAGGGGAGTGATACTCCACTCCTGCGTGTATCAGATGTGCTGGCAGCTGACACAATTCGACTGGATTGCAAGGAAAAGGCGGCATCACCTGCCTAAATATCTTTCAAGTTGCACAGTACACATGCACAACACACTGCCAATCTAAATTACCATGCATGAACAAATGTTGGTTGAATGCAGTGTATAATCCTCCCTACTAGGGTGTTTCCTTCACAGTACTAATAATCAAGTCTGACCTGCTTTGCCTAGACGCCCCTCACCAAAGAAATCACTTTTGAATGGGACCAAGCAGGCTTTGTGAACTGGTCCTGTGGCTGAAACAGTTACATATTTATTTCAGATTGCACCACTGGGCATGTCAAACCTAGCACAACATGGCAATAGAACTGCACAGTGCATGCCTGTGCTGGAGCACAAACTGAGCCACACAACCTAACCGCACGATACAACCTGCAAACTCCATGCATGTAGCTGCAAAAATGTCACCACACAGACACACGAAAACAAGGAGGAAGATTTACTCCCTGCCCTAGTATTGTACTGCCACTTTACAGGGCAGGTGCTTGCTAAGGTCTATTCAAGCCAAGTCAAGCGGCACACACTACAAAACAGACGTTAGAAAAGCCAGGGCAGCAAGAAACTGGCTCTGACTCTCTAGGCGTTGTCAACAGGTGATGTGGGGGTGCTGGTGACGGTGCTTGGGGTGGGCTTGGGGGGTGAGGGTGGTGCAGCTGCTGGCTCAGTCGGTGCCGGGGTGGAAAGGGGGGTTGGTGACTCAATAGCTGATTCTGCGGCAGCAACAGGGGTAGCATGGGCAGGGGCAGCCACATCAGAAGGGGGTGCGCTGCTCGTTGTAGTAGGCACCTCTGTCACTGCTGCAGTTGTAGCTTCACCAAGGCTGGCCTCACTCGTTTCTGCAACGTCTGCTCTCGCTGCTGCTGCCGGCACTGCTGATGATGGCTCCACTGCTGGTGCCTGTGCTGCTGCTGCTACTGCTGCTGGTGCAGCTGCCTCGGGTGCAACAGCGAGACTGCCGTTGTCAGTCTGAACCGCCACATCAGCAGCTGAGGTGGCAGCAGCAGCAGGCGCACTGGAAGCCTCAGGGGCCTTGCTCTCGCTCCCCCCCTCACCCTCTCCATCTGTGAGCTGCTTGGCGGCCTTGGGTGCTGCAGAGGCAGAAGAGGAGGTGCCGAGGGCCCACCCTGCTGCTGATGCTGCGAGAGAGAAGGGCGTGAGCAGTGCTCTGCAAGGCACCAAGGGAAAGAAGAGGGGTCAGCAAGGGGGGGGCCGCCGGGTGAGGAAGGGGGAGTGGATAGAGCAAAGGTCGAGAAGAGAAGGTAGAAATGAGCTAGAGAGACAGCATATCTGGCTTCGAACAGCCTGCACACCAAACTAGAAGGGCGAAGGTGACAATGGTGGCGATCTGGAACGATGGAGGTAGCAATAAATGGTGGATGGGGATGGGGATGCTCAAGGTGCCGGTGTTGATGTGAACACTTCAGGCAGGTGCGATTGGCAGTTACAATGATACTTTAGCCGACAAAAGAATCGAAACAATGCAGAAGTGCACGTTCCACTTTGCACGCCCGCCTCTGCCCCACATTGCCTTCCTTACTCACCCACCTGTCCCCTCCACACACACTCAACGCACGTCCCTCTGCAGGTCCCCCTCAGTCTCGTAGATCTTCACGCGCAGGTAGATCAGCTGTATCACTGCCCAGCACCCTCAGCAGCAGCAGCAATGCCAACACGCCCAACACACACCATACCCTCACACACTCACTCACAGCACATTTCCCTCGCATACACTCTAACCGCACACCCCCCCTTATTACTCACCGCACGTCCCGCTGAAGGTCCTCCTCGGTCTCGTATGTCTTGACTCGCAGGTAGATCAGCTGCACCACTGCCAGCACTCCCAGCAGCTGCAGCGACCGCTCCCACTCTGGTAGCGGTGCAGTGCGGTTTAAAGGCGGGAAACATGGGTGCAAGGAGGGTTGGATTGGTAGAAAGAGAGGTGGGAATGGGTTGGGTAGCAGAACAAATGAGGGGAAAATAGTAGAGAAAATGGTATGACGGTGTTGTCCTATCTTGAGAAGCCCGTTATGGGTGAAGGAGTGCATGGGTGAAGGAGTGCATGGGTGAAGGAGTGCATGGGTGAAGGAGTGCATGGGTGAAGGAGTGCATGGGTGAAGGAGTGCATGGGTGAAGGAGTGCATGGGTGAAGGAGTGCATGGGCTTGAAGTGAAGAATACAATGTGCCCGTATGTGCGGGCGAAAGAAGGAACGATGTGCGGTGATGCGTTGAATAGTTATTGCAGGTGATAACATGCCGTATGCAGCACGAGTTCGTCACGCCACCATAACAACAGAGTACATGAGTACATGAGCAGAGCATGGCATAGCGCTCGTACCGATGAGGGCAAAGATGCCGACTCCAGTGCCCTGCAGTGAGGGGTAGGGCGGGGGAGGAGGGAGAGGACAAGAAGAGAGGCTAAGAATGGTGTGCTGATGCATGATGCATGGTGCATGGTGGATGGTGCATGCACATGGCTGGCAACACGTTTTTCAAATGAGACACCAGGCGAGGGAGAATGGCTCAAGAGCAAAACGAAGGATGAATCAGCAGCAGAAGGAAGGGGGGGAGACTCACGAGCAGCACAGGAAGGGAGGAGGGGAGAGGGGAGTGGCGAGCAGCACAAAAGGGAGAGGAGGGGAAGGGGGAGTGGAGTGGAGGGGAGACTCACGAGCACCACGGTGGCCACTCCCAGGGGCGTGGGCTGCACGTCCTCCACAAACGCCTCGTACTCCTGCCAGGGTGCCACGTGGCAGGGCAAGACATGACAGGTGACACGTGTCAGGATGACACAACCCGGATGCTGAACATAAGAAAGAGAACCGGTTGCGAGGCATCTCAATCAAACACTGGGGGAAGAAACAAATTCTGGCAGCATGGGTGTGAGACTCAATTGACTCCACCAACAAGCACACCCCATTCCTTTGTTTCTGACCAGACTTATCTGTCAGGCTTGGCCCATCGCATCCTCCTTTAGACCTAAAGGAGGGCAAGAGTTAGGGAGGGAGGGAGGGAGGGAGGGAGGGAGGGAGGGAGGGAGGGAGGGAGGGAGGAGCGCTCACCTTCTTGAGCACTTCAGCTGCTCGCTCGGGCTCGTTGGGCTTCACTCGCAGCCCGCTGGCCACCCACGAGTCAAATCCCCCGTCCATCACGAACGAGCGCTGCCATCACAGTCACATGCACACACGCATGCACCACACACACAGAGGCACACAGAGGCACACAGAGGCACACAGAGGCACACAGAGGCACACAGAGGCACACAGAGGCACACAGAGGCACACAGAGGCACACAGAGGCACACAGGCGCGTCAAACACGAGATTGCGAGTGGAACGCCCCTTGAGGCATGCCAACGGCCTCACAGGCACCGGGCCAAGAGCGAAAGCGAGAGCATGTGCGCATCAAGCCGTGTGCGCCATAAGAACTGCGTAATGGGAGCCCCGCACGAATCACGAGGTTCATCCCATCATGTGTCATTTGCAATCCAAGGCACTGCACATGCCGGCAAGCAAGCAAGAAACCTGGGCAGCGTTCAGGAAGGCATTGAGCCAATGCAGGGGGGTGAGGCGAGTCACACTCCAGGTGCAAATCAGTGTGTCTACCTGTCAAGCCTTGCACACTCAGGGTGTCTTAGGTTTTGAGTACTCAGAGCGTCTCAAGCCTAGAAGTGAGGTAAGTGCTCACCACCCTGCCGGCAAGTACCTTAAAGCCCACTGTGGAGAGCCACCGTGAGGCACCTCACGAACTGGTTCTTGCTGCCCTGCCAAACAATACCTTAAAGCCCGCTACGGAGAGCCTATCTTAGAGGCACCTCAACATGAGGTTAAGTGATCGGTGCCCTGCCCCATCCGCACCTTAAAGCCCACTCTGGAGAGACCCCTGGCGATCTCCTTTGCCAGGTTGCCACCGCTCTCGTCCATTATAATCACCTGCGTGTCCTTCTGCTTACAGTCACACCCAATACAAGCACAGGGAGTGGAAAAACCGGGAGCGGGAGGGGAGGGAGAAACGCAGAAGAGAGGATGGAGGGAATCGTACAGTCAAATGTCACAAACGTGTCACTTTCCCAACCAATATGCCATCACAGAGGGGTGTATGCACATACTTTTTTTATTTTTGAGTCGACTCAAAAGTCAACTCACAAACTTTTTATTTTTGCGTGGCCAATTTTGATAGCTGACCAGAGTCTTGCCAGAATGCCATTGCATGTGTATCCTCCCGTTGAGATGGGTTAATAACGGGAGCTTACCTGCACGCTCTTAATGCCCTCAAGGGAACGTGCTTATAAGAGGATCCCACCTGGACACCCTTGACGCACTCAATGAAACGTGCTTATAAGGGGAGCCCACCTGCACGCCTTTCACGCCCTTGATCTTAGCGGCCATGAGCTGCAGATCCACCACGTCCGGGCTGCGCACCTGGCCCCTCAGAGGGCCGTCCAGCTGCGAGGTGGGGGGGGAAAGAAGAAAGGGATGAGGGCGTGCGGGCATGACAGGATACGGGATGAGGGCGTCAGGCCATGGTCCGGATATCAAGGCGAGAGGCCATCTGTCACTTCACGGCCAGGCTTCTGGGTGGTGTTTCGTGTTTTGAGTCGACTCAAAACACGGCTCCTGGGAACATCGGTTCTCCAACTGCGGCAGCTGGTGGGGCCAGTCGTTTGATGCAACTCAGTTGAGCAGTTGCTATTAATTTCAACGAGTGTTTGGGCGCGTGCACGTGTGTGTGTGTGGGTGCGTGTATGCCTGGTAGCATTTGTTTTTCATCGATGTCGCACCACCGCTATGTAACATTTCCAGATGCAAAGGTGCATTTGTCTAGCACACTGCTGCACCGCACTGATGAAACTGCATCCGCTGTACTACTCAGCATCGCAGCAACGCAAGCAAGAAGGACACAATTCAGCCCCGTGATATCTACCAGGGGAACGCGTGTGTCACTTTTGAAATCTGTCAAAGATGACAATATCCAGCCCCGTGAGTGATGCCTGGCAGGGCAAGAGGCTTACCTTTTCAAACTTGACGCTGCAGTCCTTGAAACGCGCCCCCCTACGCAGGTCAGGAATGCCGTTCTCGTCCCTCAAGAACTGGTTACGTGGGGGGGAAGGGAATGGGGGGTTGGGGGGAGATGGGGGAGGTGAGGCGCTTGAAGCGCGCGCCCCCCTGCGCCAGTCAGGAATGCCGTTCTCATCCCTCAGGAACTGTGGGCGTGGGGGGCAGACAGGGGAGGTGAGAGCATGGGAGGGAGAAGTAGTGGGCGGTGAGGCGTGGAAGTCAGACAGCAGAGGTGAGTGCATGAGGGCTCAAAGAGGAAGCTATCAACACGAGGGCATGGGGCATGGGGCATGGGGCATGGGGCACGGGGCACGGGGCATGGGCACGGGGCATGGGCATGGGCACGGGGCATGGGGCATCCCTCTGACCTCTGGGGCATGCGGCATGGGGTATGTATGAGGCATCGCTCTCACCTCAGGGCGGATGTCAACGAGCACGGCCTTGCTCTCCTTGAGCACCTCCAGCGCCTCCTCCGCTGACAGGTTGCCCGAATACCCCCCGTACGCCGCCCTCCAGTATGCCACGCTGACGATGGAAAGGGGTGAGGGGTGTGGGTAGAGGGGTGAGGGGAGGGATGGGATGCATGGAATGGATGCAATGAGTGGCTTGTCTGCCAACAGTTGCCTGGCTACCCACTGTACGCCGCCCTCCAATACGCCACTCTGACATGCGGGGAGAGGGGGAAATCAGGAGACGGAAAAGTGGGTGAGGTGCGGAAGGAGGCGAGGTGTATGGCGGATGCACAAGGGATTTGGGGAGAGACGGAGGCAGGCTGCGTGAGCACCCGTCTTACACCGCTCTCCCGTATGCCACTCTCATGGGGGGGGGGAGAAGGGCGGTAGGGGCGAGGTGGGAGAGGTGATGGGAGATGAGGGGAGAGACGGAGGCAGGTAAAGCACGAAAGGGGCGAGAGAGAGGGGAGGACACGGAACAGGGAGGAACTGGGAAGGTGAGAGGAATAGGAGTAGGGAGCTATGGTGAGTTGCGTTGAAGGCGAGACGGGTATTTAGTCGGACACAGAGTGGCATCAAGGGGTAAATGCAGGGACGGCACAACACAGAATCACACAGCACAGCACAGCACAGCACAGCACAGCACAGCACAGCACAGCACTGCATGCTTACCCGAGCAGCAGCGAGGCGGTGGCGATGAGAGTGGCGGCCACGACTGTGTCGTTCGCATCAAAGAGTTTACACAACACAGCGCGGCCCAGCATGGCACGGCAGAGCACCGCACCGCACCGCACAGCACTGCATAATATGCTTACCCGAGCAACAGCGTGCCTGTGGCGATGAGAGTGGCGGCCACGACTGTGTCGTCCGCATCAAAGCCCGCCGCCCCAAACGCTGCCTTCACCGCCGCTGCTGATAGCACCGCCACCTGGGGACGGGGCGAGATAGCGCGCGAGGGGAGCGGGTGGGAGAGGAGGAGGGGAGGGGGAAGAGAGTGTGATGGAGCGAGCCTACTCACGTACTTCACCTGTACGGCTTGGCTCTCGCTCGCACACGTGGCGCTCTAGACCAAACCTGCCTCTCCCCTCACCTGCACGGCCACTTCCTTGGTGAGCCCGCTAGCGGCGTCCCACAGCGACGCCTCCACCTTCTCCACCAGCGGCAGCGGCAGGGCGCCAATCTACCCGTTGATCTACAACCGCCACTTCCCACACTTGCTCGTCGTCTCACTCACCTGCACGGCCACCTCCTTGATCAGTCCGCTCGCGGCATCCCACAGTGACGCCAGGTTCGCCCACACTTTCTCCACCAGCGGCAGCGGTGGCAGGGCGCCACTCCGCCACCCTTACTACTCGCGCTCGTGAACCCCTGATCCACACCCGGCACTACTCGCCTGTCTCACCTGCCATGCTCTATCCTCACCTGCACGGCCACCTCCTTGGTCAGTCCGCTAGCAGCGTCCCACAGCGAAGCGAGGTTGGCTTCCACCTTCTCCACCAGCGGCAGCGCGTCCGCAGGCACGCTCTCGCGCAGCGCCGAATACGCCGCCAGGTACTCCCGCTGCGCCACTGCCGCCGCCGCCGCCGCCGAGTCCGCAACCGACGCGGTCGCGGCCGCCACCGCGTTTTCCACAGGCTCGGAAATTGCCCGAGGCACGGTTAGCTTCGGGACGGGGAGGTTCGAGGGGGAGGGGAGGCTCGGGATGGGGAAGGATGGAAGCGGGATCTCGGGCAGGTTGAACTCTGGGGTGGGGAAGTCGGGCAGCTTGAAGTCGGTCTTAGGGAGAGGGAGCTCGGATGAGTCAGGCAGCTTGAATTCTGGTTTGGAAAATTCGGGCAGCGAAAAGGAAGGCGCCTTCAGGTCTGAAAGGTTCTCTGGTAGCGAGAATTCGGGCTTCTTGAACTCGGGGAGCGCAAAGTCGGGCTTCTTGAATTCGGGCAGCGAAAATTCGGGTTTCTTAAAATCAGGCAGGCTAAAATCTGGCTTCTGGAAGTCAGGTAGGCTGAATTCCGGCTTCTTGAATTCAGGCAAGCTAAACTCAAACTCAGGCTTCTTAAACTCGGGCATGGTAAATTCGGGCTTCTTGAATTCGGGCATGCTAAATCCTGGTTTCTCAAAAGTAGGGGCGACATCCCTGGTGGGATACGAGAACTTGGGCAGGTCGGGCAGGTCTGGAAGGGCCGAGCTGGCGGGCAGGTCAAGCACCTCGTCCGGCACTGCGATACTATCGGCAGCAGCAGACACAGCATCTGCTGCACCCGCGGCAGCATCAGCAGCATTATCAGCAGAAGACGCATCCAGCCCCATGTCTAGGTCGTTGAAGCTGAAGCCAATGTCCAGCCCCTCGCCCTCTGCGACTGTCGACGTCGCATCTGCGACGGTGGCGACGGCATCGGGTGTGGGCGAGTCCGAGGCAAGGGCTGCCGCTGTGGGGATGAGCGCTGGGGTGATGTGGGGGGTGGGGAGGGAAGGCGAGGGAGAGGGGGCGGGGGAGGGGGAGGGGGATGAGGGGAAGGAGAACAGAAGGCAGGGAGGTTGGGGATGAGGGAAAGAGACGAATGGAGAGGTGGTAGGGATCGAGGCGGGAGCCTTCGGAACGTAAGAACGGGGAGGTGAACTGATGAGTAGGAAGAGATGGCTTCGGTGCATACAAGGACAACGCTCAGTGGAAAAATGTTGAACGCATGAATGGTGGTGGTTCGACAACTTCCGTTCCAGATTGATAAATCAATGTATGCATGGCGCTCTAGCGCTTTGTTATTATCAACTTTCGTGAATTGACGACGAAACCATCAATGATGCCGACGCCGTTCAGCGCATTCACCCACTACTTGCACCAAGTACTTCCAAGCCTTCGCGGTAGCTACCTAAAGTGATCACACGGATGGTACCCGCAGCGAAAGTAGTCGTACGAGTTTCATTGCGAAAGTAATCTCTGGAAGCCTATACGAGTTTTCATTGCGTTTTTTGTGAGTTCAACTGGCAGCGCTCTTACAGGTGCTGGAAGCGGCTGCTGCGGAAGAAGCGGCGAATCTTCCGGACCTGCTTCTACCGTCGGCTCGAGCGCGAATGGCGCACACCGCAAGCCTCGTATGGCATGTCGGAGCCGGACCGGCTGAGCTCTTCGCAGCGATCTGAAGCAGCGATAGTGGGGAGAACTTGGAATGAGATGATGTGAACCAGCTCGTAGAAGTTATAATCGGACAATGAATTGTGGTTAGAGAAGTGAATTGCTAATCAGAGCTCACCCGTGGCTCCGGCCGGAGGTTTCCCCGTAAAAGGCTCGACAGTCCAGATGATTGCACTGTGGCCATGACGTGACGAGCCTAACGACCTTCTGAGCGCCTGAATTCACGCCCTCGGTCCGTCAAATTGCTAAGGCTGTCTGGCGTTTGAGACAGAACAGAGCTAGAAGGCGAGCTCCGTACTATGCCCTCTTCGCACCACCACAATGCACTAAGAAGTGGAAATGGAAATGAGGCCCTAGGACGTGTTTAGATATTTTAAATGTGTCCCCTTTCTGCTGTATACGATTGTAACGCGTTTGGAGTGTCAGTTGTGGTTTGGTGAGGTTGAAAAAAACGAAACTCTTCTTTCCGAATCGAAAACGACAGGGATGGAAGCTGGAACCCAGACGGGAAGAAGCCTGAATACGCTCTACAGCTGATGTGGCGCATGTGTAGTGCTTCGCTGTGCAACCAAGGGTCGTTGTGTGAGAAGACGGGGCGGAGAGATCGAGGCATCGGTTTGAAGGGTAGGAGATGCATTAATTCTGGCTGTCATAGTTGACGTGGCGACCATCCGAAGCTCCCGAATCAGAAGGATCCATTGAGTTCACCTGTGCCATTCTGGAGCCCCTAGATCCCTTCAAGTGTCTGTGGCCACGGATAGGCTTCCGAATTGACGACAAGATCTCCTGGAGCCCAGTAAGGCGTCACTCGATATGCTTCCGAATTCTCGTATGCTGTAGAATGCCCAAACTAGTTTACATTTTGCTTATGATTTAGGTTATAGGCGCATTCTTTATCACGCTGTATAAACATACTATCAATAAAAAAAACCCATTGTTCTCATGAACTGTTTCAAATCTATTCCTTAATAATCAATATTAACGGAATCGAATTTTAAATGAAGCTCTTGTACAAACAAAACCCTGTTTACTATTAGATTCAATAACTCCTCATGTTTCATTGATGCGGTGATTATTATCTGTGTAGTGTCCTAATAATTTGCCCATGCCCATTTGCACCGAATAGCTTCTTTAGTGTGTGTTTTCAAACCAGACGCTTCTCCCTCCCGACCTGGCTCTCCAGCCCACCACCAGGCACAGTTACGGCAAGAAGAGCTGATAGCGTATGGTCCTGCTGAGGCTTAGGGGGTATAGCTCGCTCTTTTCGCAGACTTTCTGTGATTTTCTTCAGGGTGAACGACGTGAAGACGAGACTGCCCGAGTGTCGGCGATAACCTCTACGAGTAACCCGCCGCTTTCGTCGCACGCCGTCCAGTTCTTCAAAAGCCGTGCTTATTGGCCGTTCATGTTCGTTCTTAGCGAACTGCCCAGAGCTTTTGTTTCGCAAACCTAGATTAACACTCATGCTTCTGTGGACTACTATCGAAATAAGGGCCCACCGGAGCAAACTCTGACTAGCAGCCTGCCAACCACCCTACACCGTTCGCTCCATCCCCGCGGCTCCATCTCCCCTCGTTATAGTCACCATCGAGACTCAATGGAGCGGTGGTCCGCGGACGAGGCGCGCGCGTTGATCGCATAGAGCTCCCAGAGCTGCAGGGTGTTGACTCCCAGAGCTTCTGTGGTATACCATCCAATTAGGGGGGCACAGGAGCAAACGTTGACTGACAGTCTCTCAACCAACCTGCGCCAGCTGCTGTACTTTCGTTATAGTCACTATCGAGACTCAATGGAGCGATGGTCCGCGGACGAGGCGCGCGCGCTGATCGCGCTGCGGGAACGCGTGGAGCGCGAAACGAGTCGGTCGATCAACGCCAAGGCCGGCAACGCCAGTGATGATGACGAGGAGGATGGCGGGGCGGTGGATTTTGGCGGGAAGCGCATGTGGGAGTGGGTTTCGACCGAGATGAAGAAGCAGGGGTATCAGCGATCCATGGTGCAATGCAAGGCCAAGTGGACCGTGCTCTTCAACCGATACAAGGTGATCCGTTGTGCTAGCAACGCTACTAACGAGTACGGTAAGCGCCGTGCTGTTCAACAAGGCAACACACCATTTGTTTCTTCCCACTCCTTTCAGACCCCCTCCCCCCCCACTCCCGCCCCCTTCCCCTCCCCCCCCATAGGAAATTCCCTATTTCCCCTCCTCCCCTCCCCCCCCCCCCCCCCCCCCCCCCCCTCCCTCCTCCCCCTTTGCCCCGTCCCCTCTTCCCCAATCTCTTTCCCTCTCCCCAATTCCCTCCACCCCCCCACCACCAGCACCCCACCACCACCCTCCCCCATTCAGAGCACGGAGCTATCGAGCGGCAGGGCAAGGCGTGTCCGTTCTCAGACGAGCTCACAGCCATCTTCAAGCTGCGCGCCGAGCAGGCCGTGCATGCACTGCAACCCCTCCCCACATCCTCTCTCCCCTCCCCTCCCCTCCCCCCCCCCATACCTCTCTCCCCCTTTCCCCGTTCCTGCCAGAGCATGGAGCTATCAGAGCGGCAGGGCAAGGCGTGTCCTTTCTTTGACGAGCTCACAGTCATCTTCAAGATCCGTGCAGAGCAGGCTGTGAATGCAACCCCTTCTCCCTTCCCCCTGCCCCCGTTTCCCTCACCCTGACCTTTTCCCCCCGCCAGAGCATGGAGCTGTCAGAGAGGCAGGGCAAGGCGTGTCCGTTCTTTGACGAGCTAACCGTCATCTTTAAAATCCGCGCCGAGCAGGCCGTGAAGGCACCCCCTCCTCACGTTCCCCTCCCACCGTCCCCCTCTCCCCGTTCCCCTTCCCCCCAGAGCATGGAGCTGTCGGAGAGGCAGGGCAAGGCGTGTCCGTTCTTTGACGAGCTGACCGTCATCTTCAAGATCCGCGCCGAGCAGGCTGCTCGAGTGGCCGCCCTGGGCCATGGCGTTGTGGACACCAGACCTGCAGGCTCGGTAGGCGCCGGACCTGCAGGCTCGGCACGAGCTGCTGCAGGAGGGGGTTCGTTGTTTGGCTCGGATGGCTTGTTTGGGATGCAGGGGGAGGACGTGGAGGGGGAGGAAGGCGGGGAGGAGGAGGAAGAGGAGGAAGAAGAGGAGGAGGAGGGCGGGGAGGGGGAGGGAGACGATGGGGAGGAGGAATGGGAGGGAGATGCAGCAGGCAAGAAGCGGAAGAGAGAAAGCAAGGGGGGAAAGGCGGGGGGAAGGGGAAGGCGTGGCAGTGCAGGGGCAAGCGCAGCAGGCAGAGGCGCAGGGAGGACGCGAGTGGACACGAGGGGGGATGCTGAGAAGGAGGGCTTGCGGAGAAAGCTGGGCGAGGGGTGGCTAGGGATGAAGGTAGATAAGAAGCGGTTGGATAAGATGTGGGAGGTGCAGGGGGAGTTATTGCAGCAGCATGCATTGCTGGAGGGGCAGTGGGGCGATGAGGGCGAGCGGGTGGAGGAGAGGGGGAAGGAGAGAGGCGAGGCTTGGATTGAGCGGTTGGAGCAGCAGGAGAAGCGACGACTGGCTGAAGATGTGAAATGGCGTGAGGTAGTGATGGGGGGAAGGGGAGGGGTGGGGGTGGGTGTGATGGTGTGGGATTGGTTGAGATCTTATGGCATGGTGGCGTGGGATTGTGATGGCATGGTGGCACATGCACAGGAGCAGCAGGAGAAGAGGCGACTGGCTGAAGATGTCAAATGGCGTGAGGTAGTGGTGGGGGTTGGGTGTGAGGCTGTGGGGATGAATCAGATTGAGAGGTTGGAAGAGAAGCGACTGGCTGACGATGTCGGGTGGCGCGAGGTAGTGAGGCGCAGGCGGGATGGAAAGGAGGCGTGGGTTCGTGGGCGCGGTGTGATGATCTGATGAGATGTGATGGTGTGATGGCTTGATTGTGTGATGGCATGCTGGTGTATTTACAGGAGGGCATGAGAACGCATTGGCAGGAGGGTGTGGGGTTGCATGGACCACAGTTACGCTGCGAGGCTGTTGAGAATTGCTGCTGCTTGTTGGTATGATTGGTTTGGCTTGCCGTTGATTGCTGCCGCCTTGCTGCTAGTTTCTTCAACCAGGTGTGTTTTTGTGCATGCAATGTCCCCTCGTTTTTTTGGTCCGCAAGCTCATGCTTCTTGTTCTGTGCCTGTTGTTGCTGTCGCTCGTGATTGTGTGATGGCATGGCAAAGGACGTCTTGGATTCGAAGCGCAGCATGGCATGCTTCATAGGTCTCCCTCTGCCAGGAGGAGTGGAGAGCACAGCAAGTGTCACCTGCTAGACATCTATGCCTCAACACACTCCCTTTTCTGTGCCTGTTCTTGTTGCTGGCGCTGGTGCTGGCAGGAGGAGGAGCGGAGAGCACAGAAGGCGGAGGTGGAGTGTGATGCCATGCTGCAGGTTCTGCTCGCCCAGCTGCAAGCCCAGTCCTACCCTACCTTCGTTTGACTAACCTCGCCTTACCTCCCTCGCACTCCCTCCACACTCTCTCTACACTCCCTCACTCTCCCTCCACACTCCCTCGCTTTCCTGGCTACGGTATCACCTCACCTCTGCCGGTCGCGAACCCCTCGGAGGCGAGGGAGGTGGAGTGTGACGCCATGGTGCAGGTCCTGCTCGCCCAGCTGCAAGCCCACACTTACCCTACCTTCGTTTGACTAACCTCGCCTTACCTCCTCCACATTCCCTCCACACCCCCGACACACTCGCTCCACGCTTCCTCCACTCTCATGGCCATTACCTGACCTCACCTTACCTCTCCGTCACACTCAAGCTGGGACTTCGTCTCAGGCGGCACTCAAGTGCACTGGTATAGTACTCATGGTTCATCCAATCTCTCAGGGCAGCTCCTAATGTAATAAGATTGGAGATAAATACACGGATCTTTTGCAAGTCTATGTACTTTATGACATCAAACTGTCCAATTGATACTTGCCCCCGCGGAAGAACTCTTGCATACACTAGCTAGGGCGAAATATGGAGCCAGGGTTCTGAAATTAGCGCGACTGATGCCCTTCAACTGCATTGCAGTGATATTTTAATACGGTAATTAGTTTCCAATCAGCACCGTACTGTACATAAACCGTAATGGTAATGTTTCCGGCCTCACGTCGAGGCCATGCATGCTCCCATGCCATGCCTCAGCACTGCACGCTTGCATGTGCCTTCAAGCACATGCCTTCAAGCACATGCGTTCAAGCACATGCCTTCAAGCACATGCCTTCAAGCACATGCCTACATGCACATGCCTTCAAGCACATGCCTTCAAGCACATGCCTTCAAGCACATGCCTTCAAGCACATGCCTTCAAGCACATGCCTTCAAGCACATGCCTACATGCACATGCCTTCAAGCACATGCCTTCAAGCACATGCCTTCAAGCACATGCCTTCAAGCACATGCCTTCAAGCACATGCCTTCAAGCACATGCCTTCAAGCACATGCCTTCAAGCACATGCCTACATGCACATCCCTTCACAACAGGCAGCAACAATTTCAGCAGGCTGATAGGCTGGCTGGAACAGAGCTCTCATACCCACACTCCCACACACCTCACAAATAACATAGTACGGTACCTGTCTGTCTGTATTCTCTTTTCAACAGTGAGGATATTATCAGCATCTCCCTTGATGGACCTTCTCAGTGCATTTAGTGTAGTACCTGCAGTAACACCTGTCATGGCCAAGAGTACCTGTCAGCAACATCTCTGCCTCATAGCACAGCGTTCTTGTCCACAAGTGTACCTGTTTGTAACACCTGTCAAAGCACATACGACTTGCTCACAACAACGGGAAGGGTAAGACACCAAAGAATACTGATACGGGAAACAAAGCAATAGCTTGGAACTGGGGCAAATGGGTTGCCTGGAAATTGGAAAACGATAAAAATGCATCACAATGGCAAAATGCGAAAGCTAAGGTTTGGGATGCCTAAAGATAAATTGCACAGGAGATCACATAAAAACAGATGCATGTGAAATGAGAACTTGAACACTTTGAGTGCGGTGCGGTGAATACCCAAACCACACTCAAGGTCCTCAATTGAATGGCAAGTGCATCACAGAAAGAGGAGGGCAATGAAACATATGCACGTGGGGAAGACTGTCGGACCAGCATAACAGCCCTGCTCCAACCAGCTTCATCATCCCAAACATGTAGACAAATATCCAACAAAACATCTAGAAACTCTTCATTTCCACCTGGAATCCAAGTATATTCTGTATGTAAAAACAAAATTAGATGCTGGATATGTATGGATTACTGGGAATCACATGGTTGATGAATGGAAACAGGAATCAGATGCTTTATTTACAGACAATTGAAAGCGAATGCTTCATGCATGGAAAGAGAGAATCGGATGCCTGATATATGGGAAACAGGGGAATCCAACGACCGATGCATGGGAAATGAGAATTCGATGAATGAAGCATTGGGAATGGGAATCACATGCCTGATGCATATATGATGGGAACTGGATAATTGATACACGAAAGTAAGAAATCAGGTACTGAATGGTAGGATTACAACAGAACATATGGTGGGTGAATGGAAAACGGAGATCAGATGTTAGATGGACAGTAAATGGGAACCAAGCGGTTGATACATGGGAAGATGCATGGGAAGATGCCTGGATTATGGAAAATGGAAGAAGCTCGTGCCTGAGCATCGGAAAAAGGAATTAGATGGCCAACTTTTGAAAACCGAAAGGGTGAAATGCATGGGAAATTGGAATTCAGAGCCTGGACTCAAGGTCCCTCAGCATTCTACAGCGACAGGAGCACACTGAGATCAGGCCCAAGCATCTCTTATGAAGGTGAAGAGAAGATATATGAAACTGGAGGTGGACTCCTCATATTCAAAAGATTTGTACTCAGATTTTGGACCCCACTAACTGTTGAAGAATGCAGAAGATATATTCACCAAACAGGTTAAAATTCACACATTCATGGATAGAATTTACAATATACATAAATATATACAGATTATCCAGCAAATATTTATTTCCACCTAGGAATCTGGGATAATTGTTTCTGTAAGGCTGCTTGTGCAGCCTGACTTATTTACCCACTTGACCTCCTTGTTCTTCCCTGCGACCCCTTCTGCACTGCCTGCCTTAGGGGTGCCACACGAGCAGCACTGGCACTGGCCGTGGCAGGAGCTGCTGTTGGTTTCACTGCAGACTTGCAAGCTGCAACCTTGGCTGCTGGCTTGGGAGCTGCAGCCTTGACTGCAGGCTTGGGAGCTGCAGCCTTGTCTGCAGGCTTGGGAGTTGCAGCCTTAACTGCTGGCTTGGGAGCTGCAGCCTTGGCTGCAGGCTTGGGAGCTGCAGCCTTGACTGCAGGCTTGGGAGCTGCAGCCTTGACTGCAGGCTTGGGAGCTGCAGCCTTGACAGCAGGCTTGGGAGCTGCAGCCTTGACTGCAGGTTTGGGAGCTGCAGCTTTGACTGCAGGCTTGGGAGCTGCAGCCTTGACTGCAGGCTTAGGAGCTGCAGCCTTGACTGCAGGCTTGGGAGCTGCAGCCTTGACTGCTGGCTTGGGAGCTGCAACCATTGCTGCTGGCTTGGAAGCAGCAGCCTTCGCTGCTGGCTTGGAAGCTGCAGCCTTTGATGCTGGCTTGGAAGGTGCTGCAGATGATGCAGCAATAGTAGCAGCAGCATTGGCAGCAGCGGCACTCACAGCGTCAGCAGCAGCAACCACAGCATCAGCAGCAGCACCCACAGCAGAAGAAACAGCACCCATAGCTGCAGCAGCAGCCCGGACCACAGCAGGTCTCAACCGGGAAAAGCCCAGAGGAGCTCGGATTTCCCGCTTCCTGCTCGCTTCAGCAAACCTGCCAACCCTGTACGCCACAGCAGCTGATGTCAGGGGCTTCAGCTTTGGCGACAGCAGCAGCCTGTCACCCTCACTCGGTGTTGTGAAGCACCTGAGAGTCTGATCTCTCAGGTAGGCTTCATCAGCGTCCGTCCACTCGGTGATGAACTCAGAGGGGTCCACCTGCGAATTTTCTGTCAGCCATTCGCAGTCACTCTCACTGTCACCAAGGCTGCAAACACCAGTTCTCAGGTACGCCTCATCAGCAGCTGTCCACAGTGTTATAAATTCAGCAGGGTCAACCTGCGCATTCTCAGCCAGCCATTCGCAGCTATCCTCACTGACACGACGGCTGAGAGCACCAGACCTCAGGTACGCTTCATCCTCAGCCGTCCATTCAGGTGACAGGAGTTATAAACTCACTAGGGTCCACCAGATTGTAATCCGCCAGCAGAAGAAGCGGCAAAAGCTCATCTTCATCATTCCGTGTTGAGCTGCTCTTGACTGAGCCGCTTCTCAACGTGTTTTCATCCTCATCCGTCCACTCCGTCAGCCATTCAAACGGAGTGGAGCTTGCTGGCGAGCACGCGAGCCAGCTCGGAACGTCCCATATGTATTGTGCAGCGTTGCCAAAGTAAGTGGCAGCAGCAACAGCCAAAGCAAGGGCTGATTCGGGGTTAAGAAACGCCATCGAATATGAACAGCAGTGTGTGAACCAGCAGTAGTGCAACAACAGTTCTAGAGGGTTCCAACAGGATCTCCAGCGAAAACCAGGAGCAGTGGAGTGTTCACGCAGGATGTGATTCTAGAAAGGGTCGAGCAAACGAGATGTGACTGAAGGCAAAGAGCCAATGCCATTTCTACTCACGGCTAGCGGAGGAATCGCCGTTTGCTTCCTCACCGTTGGTAGGTCGCACAGCCGGGGTTGCGCGGTTCGGAATGGGTGTGGGTCTAGCCTTGGGACCCCACCAGCTTCGGAGCCTTGTTAGGCTCGATCCGAGGTCGTCGGAGCCCCAAGGTCCCTCCAAAATTTAGCACCGGTTGCTTGCCAGCGCATTAACATGGATCTGTCGATCTACAGTCATTGGAGTTCCACGCTCATTCTAGAATTTCATCAACGGTTAAGATTTATCGCAAGACTTCACCTTGCCAGCGCATTCACGTGGATGACGCGAACTGAGCTGGCAGAGGAGGAAAACGACGGCTGGGGTGCAATCGGACGGCACAAAATACTCCCACCGACATTGTAACGAACAAGATTGCACCGACATCATCGACCTGAACCGCATTTGGCGCACCTTCGACGTGGACCCACTCACAATACGCGTGGCGAGTTTTTTCGGGTGATGTCACGTGACAGATGGGCCCCTGGGTGCGACAACATATCAGGTCTTTCCGCTGACTAGGAAAGACGAGCTTGGCTGATGGAAGCGACAGAAGCCATGCTATTCATGTTACGTCTAGCTGGATGTTCTACATATAATCCAGCAGCAAATCTACATCGTGACAGCGGCTCCTAGCGAACTACTACTGGGTCAGCGAGGGAAGCCTGGGCGGCTGTCTAGGAAGTAGCGAGCT